CAGGATGGGTAGGCCATAGTTTCACTCAAACAATTCTCAGGGTCCCTCACTCCTGGAATGAGAGTGCCCTAGTGTCCCCTTAGATACTAGGTCACCCAAAGGTCTGTCAGGCTAGGGGGGCACAAAACTGCCCCCTAAAGTACCTCCTCCCCCTTCCCCCCAACAGCTGCTGGCTCAATTCCGCTGGCCTGCTGCCCCTCACCAGCTCCCGGCCCGGTTGGCACCTACCCACCAGGATGCTGGCAGTCCTGCCCTCCTCTCCCTCCTACCCCCCTGCTCCTAGCGCCCCATGCCAACTGTGGGCCTGGGGTGGGGGAGGGTCACTCTCACGCCTTGGTGCCAGTCAAGTGGGCCCAGGCCCCTTAGCCTCACAGATATGGCTCAAGACCCTGTACTCAAGCCACCTCCTAATGAGGCAGCACCCTGGGCAGGGCCTATGCAAAGAGAGCCCGGTGGGGTATGGACAGCCCCACAGCAGCTACTTTAGCCTCTACACCTCAGGGTAGGGGCCAATGTGTCTCCCTACCACCAGGTACCAACCTCCTGGCATTCCCCGTGCCCAAGCATTTGGTGCTTGGGCACCAAAGTTCCTGTAATTCCTGAGAGCCCAAGTGCCTGCAACCTGTAAGGGGATGGGTGGGGTGGGGCTGTTCTCTGCCCTTTGATCCCCATAAAGGGAGGGAACCAGCCTAGAGGGCAGGGGGCAGGGAGGGAGTTCACGAGGCCCCTCCATTTCACCCCTGCCAGGGGCAGCAGGGCAGGGTGTGGGCATCTTTTGGGTGGAGCCTTAGGTGAGGATGAGTAGCATGTCTCACAGGGAAGCTGGATGTCAATCATGGGTATCTGGCATCACATGGGAATGAGATGGGAAGAACAAAGTAGGGGATGTAGAGGGTACCCATGTTTCAACCCATTCTAGGCTTTCACCTTTGTGCAGAAACATTTCCAGACTCAGCCAAATTGAGCTCTCACAGAGACTACACCTCCCAGTGTACATCACAATTGCTTCAAATGTACCCTGGGAGTTGTAGTTCCCTTGAGAAGCCCGGGGTTCTCCTTTTCCCCAGGCAGGTGGTTGATGGGTGAGGAAGGCAGAAGGCTTGATCACAGGTCTCCAAGGGGACTGTGTTTAAGAAGAGGTAAAAGGCTAGGAGGTCCATGGTCAGGGGAGAGGACCCCTGCTCCTAGGCAAAGGGGGAGGAAAGGAGGAAGGAAGAGGAGAGGATGTCTGTTGAAAGGGGTATATGGGAGGGGAGGAGTGGGGGGGGGCAGTGGAAACAGGAAGGAAACTGAAGCCAGAGACATGAGGTCGAAAGCAAGGGCCTGGGGGAGCCCCACTCTGAGGCCAGGCAGGGACTGGGAAGGCATTTCCCCCCTGCCATTCTGGTGACCTGAAGAGGCATAGGAGGAATTAGTGATGTCAAGTGGTAGTAAGTTCATGTATTTGTGAAGGGGTCACTGGTTCCATTTGTCTCCCATTACCCCTTTTTTGCCTAGGGCAACTTCAATTCCTGGATCTAGCTCAGGTATTTGCAGGCTGGGAAGCTTTGAAGGCTGATCTGTTCTGGGGAAACCAGCAAGCAGAGGAAGGGGCTGGGGGAGGTCAGGTCCAGGCCTGATGGTGAGTACAGTAAAGGTATATGTGTGGTTAGGCTTGTGTGTAAGGTCAAGGAAGGGTACTAGCAAATAAGGGTGCTATCCTCCATGGCAGAGGCCACAGGGAAGAGTGGGCTAAGATGCCCAACCTATGCTGTGGGACAGAATGGAGAGGGCAGTCATTTCTGGCTGCTTTGGGGAATTTGCTAAAGGTAGCTTTTTCCCTGTGCTAGGCAGTTCAGATGGCAAGTCAGGGGGCCAGATGGCAGCAGGGTGCCTTTTCCTAGTGGGGTGGAGGTCAGAAGTGGGCAGAGGACCTGGTTCAAGGCTACTTTCCCTAGGCTCCCCAAGACTCTGGGACTGATGCTGGCAGGCCCCAGCCAAGCCTCTTGCCAAAATGGGACCTGACTAGCAGAGGGTAGTGGCAGGGTTTTTCTTGCCCTTCCCCCAAGTCCGTGATGGTAGATGACAGTAGCTCTACCCCCTTCCCCCTAGTCCCCCAGGCCCGCCTTGGCGCCTGGCCGCTTGTGTGTTGGCAGGACTGGGGGGGGGGGCAGCGAGGCAACTTCAAACTGTCCGGGCAAAACGTCAAGTTTACTCACGAGTTTACTCAGCAGAAGGAGGGGGAAGAGGCCAGGGCGGGCACGCCCCATGCCAGGGTCCTATCCTTCTGCCTGTCCCCACTTTCCTCCCCAACTCTCCTCTTCAACCCTAACACAAACCTGGCACAGGCCTCAAGGCCCAGTGTGAGGGCAGCCCTCACTCCAAGGAAGGCCAGGGAGCCCCAAAGCAGACCCAGAGGCGTCTACCAGAGGGCATTGCCCTGTCTAGAGCCCATTCACTGCTGATCTTGGGGCCTCAGTATTTAGCCAAGAGAACTGAGTCTCTCAGCCATCAAGAAGGGGGCAGTAGCAGGCCAAGTCTCTATCTGAGTAGTCCCCTAGGCAGTGACTTCTGGTCCTAGGCTGTGCCTCAGGCAACAGCATGATGCCATCAGGCAGCCACAGAATCAGGGTCTGGTTCTCAGCCTTAGCTTGGAATGGGGGGCCAGCACCCTATCTGACCTACTTCCCTTTCCTCCCCACCTGCTTTCATTCTCTGATTCTCTCCCCCAGCCTTCAGTGTCCCCACCCCAGAGCGCTCCGCCCCCCCAATGCCCGCTGGGCCCCCTCCCCCACCCTTCCCCAGGGTGCCAAGTGCAAGCACACAAAGGGCCTGATGGTGCATTGTTAGCCCAGCCCCCGCTGCCCGCCGCACCCTCCCTGGATAGGCACTAGGCCAAGGAGGAGCTGGGGGCCCTGGGTGCCAGGGGGCACCATGGGGAAGGGAAAGAGGACAGCACCTGTCTCTCAGACACCAGGGTCCATATCAGCCGGGGCTGAGTAGTGATGAGTGTCCCACTGGAGCAGGCCTCTCTCCTTGACACCTGAGCCCAGTGGGCATTGCCTTCTGTCTTCCCCTGAACCCCTTCCTGGTGGTATTAACCCCTTTTTGTCTTCTGTGCCAAGGCTGGGGGGGGTGGCACCCAAGGGAGGGGACAGTGTCTGGGGGTGCTGGCAGATTGTGTTGTGCCACAGCAACCATGTAACAGAGGCACGCTGGGGTCCCAGGGGCCAAGGACAGGAGGCACTGACAGAGATTTCTCCTTGTTTCATCAGCTGCTCCAGGGGGAGCCCCCTGCCCTTCTCCCCAGTTACCACTAAGGAGGAACAGTGACTACCACCCCTACCTAATCACAAATATGTCCCTCTCTAGCCCAGTACAACATACCTTATGGATACTCTCTCCTCCCAACCTGATGCCCACTCCATGCCAGCTCTCCCAGCAGTGCCAGACGGGTACAGGGGTGACCAAACCAGTTGGTGTGTGTAGGGCAGCAGGAGGCTACCCCATAATCCTCCCGGTCTCTCCTCACCCCACACACAGTCCCTTAGGGAACAGAGAGTTCCCATCCTGATTTAACCCCTCACTGCCCAATCTGGCTTTCCCACCCCTGAGCCCCTGATAAAAGGTCTGCCTCCTCCAGGAGTAAGTTGGGGGAAGCGGGGAATAGCTGCGCTGACTCATTCCCATTCTCTGCTGCAGCTAGGGGTCTCCAAGGTATTCGGGCGGGGGTCAATTCAAGAACGCCCTCCACCTGGCCCGGAAGCCAGGACAGCCTGCCGGTCTCCCCCTCTCCCCAGCACCCACTTCCGGTGTCCCAAACTAGGTCAGCAGCGCTCGTTTCCTGTGGGTCAGCTAGCACCGGCGCCTCTGCCCCTCCCCTGCTCCGGACCCAGGCTCCCCGCCCCCCGCCCCCCAGGGCGCCCCGAGGTCTCACCACGTCTCAGCCGCCCTTTGATACGTGGGGGTTGTGCGGGGCGGGGGGCAGGGGACCCGCCCTCTCTCCAAACACCAGCAGGGCCGGGGCGCCTGGGCAGGCACGTGTCCGGGCACAACCCGCTGCCCACGCCGCCCCCCCACTCCCAGCCCCCCCTCGCTCTGGCCGGGACACGTCGCTCTCTTACTTGGGATGGGGTAGGAGGAGAGAGAAAGCTGGAAATTGAAAGCAGCGCCCCCCAACCCTTTGAATGGCAGCCCTGTGCCCGAAGCACACTGTAGGTTCTGCGACAAAACTGCGACCCCCCACTTTGACTAGGGCAGGTGCGCCGGTGCTGGCAAGGGGGCCGGGGGTAGGTAGAATTCTTCCTGGTCACCCACCCTTGTTCTCAGGTTCTGGGAGCATTAACTGGCTTTGAAAAGGCGGCAGCAGGACTACAGCCTGAGGAAGGGGGTGGAATTTAGGGACGGGGAGAGAGGGGTCGTTATATGGCGTTTGGAGGTTGTCGCCGAGCCTCACTACCGCAGGAGAGAAAGCGCGGCTCTGGAAGCGCAGGAAACCGAATAGTCCAGCCGGTAACTTTCCCCCCAGCCGCGGCTCCTCCTGGTCCCCCCACCCTCCGTGCACTGGACCGGGTCCAACCCACCACGCCAGGGGGCACGGGGGGGGGACGCGTTGTCCTAGTTAGAGTCCGTCAGCCTTTCCATTCCCTCTACTCCGTCGGGTCTGGGGTCATGAAGACCCTAAAGTCATGAAGAAAACTAGAGGAACGCTCCGCGCCGCCTCACCTCATCTCCAACCTGGAGCTGCCTGTCTGATCCCAGGAGAAGTGCATATAAAGTTTCTGGGGACCCTCAGCCCAGGGTTGGGGGACAGCCGTAGTTCCTTCTCTACCTTTCCTCCCAGTTGGAGGAAGAATTCCAAAGACCCAAGGTGTTGGAAAGGCGCAAGGAAAGAGAGTGGTGGGAATCTGGTAAGCATGGGTGTGTATGTGGGGGTCCCACTTACAGGACGGACGAAGGACACTGCAGTAGTCTCAAGTCTAGCGAGCCCGAGCCAGAAGATAAAAGTGGGGTACACTCACCTCTGGGCCGTCGAGTCCGCTGCCTGGAACTGCTGAGGCACAGGGTGTGGGGAGAAGTGCGTCTCCCCCCAGGCCCGGGGGCTTGGGGCCCTGCTCCGGTCCTGGTCAGAAGGCCGCGGTCAGTTGCTCGCCGCTCGCTGCTGGGGGGCGCCTCCTCCGCCGCCCTCTGCCTCCTCCGGCCGCCCGCCCCCCTTC